GAGCCATTGTGCGGGCTTCTGCCTCTTCTTTTCTTTTCTTTTCTCTTCTCTTTCTTTCTTTCTTTCTTTCTTTCTTTCTTTCTTTCTTTCTCCTTACCCCCTCTGCCCCCCCCTCCCCGACAGGGTTTTACTCTGTCATCCAGGCTGGCTTGGAATCCACCATATATCTATCTCATGGTAGTCTCAAACTTGTAGGAATCCTCCTGCCACAGCCTCCCAGGTAGTAGGATTACAGGGAAGTGCCACACAATTCCTGGCTTTCCTAGTAAATAGTTCTGCTATACTAATCCATAGTGCCTCAGCTGAGAACTCAACTCAAGCGTTCTATCCACCTGCCCTTCTATCCACTCCACCACAGTCCTCTCTGCTCTGAATCAGACAATCCCATCACCTCTCTCGTTCTCCTATCCTAATCTGTCGCCAGAGTTCCCTTCCCCACTCCTACATGTGTTTTTCAGTTTATGCTCTCGGCATGATCACAGCCAACACCAGTGTTGGGTACTCCCCTCTGCTCGTCCGGATTCCGTCCATGGTCTCCTAACCAGTCATATGGACCAACATTTGGACTCATAGTTTAACATTCTTCTTCGGCAGCTGTTCTCACCTTCTAGGCTGTGAAAACTCTTGTATCACACAGTCAGCCTCTTACCCTGAGTATGCAGATCACTCCAGCTTCCCTTGCCATTCTGCCACATGTCACCCATCCCATACAACATAGATGGCATCTAATGCCCCAAATAAGGCATTAGCCTCTGTTCTGTGCTTTTCCCAGAGCCTCAGATGGCCCCACAGTCCCTTCTCTATGCATACTTCTGACACTGACCTAAGGATTTCATGCTTTGCTCCCACTTCACTCTTGTCTCCACCACCAAAGCCTGGATCAGTTCACCTTCTCTGTGCCTTCAGAGTGCTTATTTGTTCACTTCCTTGTTGGACTCTCCCACCAGGCTTGTGTGTGTTGGAGGGAGGCGGCATGCATCAGTGTGCTTGCATGCAAAAGCTGGGGGAACAGGTTGTCTCTTCTGCTAAACTGATTGGACAGCAAGCTCCCAGGATCAGCCTGTCTCTGCCCACCAGATTACAGGCATAGGTAGCAGGCTAGGCTTTCTTATGTAGGTAGTGGGAATTCAAATCCAAGTCTTCATTCTTGTACAGCAAGTATCTACTGAGTCATATGCACAGCCTTTCTCTACGAGATTCTAATCTCCTTACGGGCAAAAACTATCTTTCATCTCCAGACATCAGTGTCTATGGGAGATGGGTTCCAGAATTGGATACCACAATCCACTTCAGTCTCCAGGATGTTGTAGAACTTGAATATAACCTGAGTGTATTCTCCTACATGCTTTGCATAACCTCCAGATTACTTACAGCACCTCATACGGTGTGTAAACATTATGTAAAAGCCCACCTATAGTATTTCGGAAAGACTAGAGAAGGATGATCTGCAAATTCCCTATAGATGCAGAGCCATGGATGGGGAGGACTGGCTGCCCTTGCCTCCAAGTATAATGAAGCGCCGAGCGCCTAGAATCTATTGTCTTTTAAATTAAGCTCCCAGAGGATTCCCCTCAGCATTCTGTGTGTGAGGTCACCCTGCCCTGTTCCTCCCAAACCACCTTCTTGTGTCCCGCCTCCAGCCGCTCCTGGGTTTACTCGGCCTCCGCTTTGTGCAGAAGAAGCTGCCTTGCGTCGGGCACTGGAACATGCAGATGGCGACCACAGCTCTCTGATCCAGGTCTATGAAGCCTTTGTACAAAGTAAGTGTTTCAGAATACCCAGTCAGCTGACAGACCTCTGTGTTCAGGAAGAGGAGGTCCTCTGCCCAAGGGTTGTGCTCTGTGCATCTGAAGGACTTAATGGCAGGTGTTCCCTCCTCCTCCAGGTGGAGCAGATGAAGCGTGGTGTCAGGCTCGGGGTCTAGCCTGGGAGGACTTGTGTCAAGCCCGCAAACTCCGAGCAGAGCTTGTGGACCTCATGCAGCGGATTGAGCTTCCCCTGTCCCAGCCAGCCTTTGGCTCTGAGCAGAATCGCAGAGACCTTCAGAAAGCACTGCTGTCAGGATACTTCCTCAAGGTTGGGGAGAGGGCTGAGCGGGATAGGTTTGCCAGGTGTGGTGGTACACATCTTTAATCCAGCACTCTCTCGAGGCAGGCAGAGCTCTTTAAGGTTGAGGCCAACGTGGTCTACATAGTAAGTTCTAGGGCAACTAGGGCTACATAATAAGATTCTGTCTCAATGGGGTGGAGGTAGGGATGGCTGGAGAGTTGCCTTAGCAGTTAAGAGCACTTACTGCTTTCTCAGAGAACCCAGGGAACCTGGGTCTGGATCCTAGCACCCATATGGTAGCTTACTACCGTTCTTAACTCCATTCAAGGGCAGGTCCATGTTGTACTAATTCATGCAGGCAAAACAGTCATACACATAAGATAAATAAATCATTTTTTTAATTTTAGAAAAAAAAAAGAATCAAAAGGCAGAGAGAAGGGGGCTAGGGGAAGAGCTGCATCGGTAAAACCCTTGCTTCTATTTCAAGGACAGACTTTGATCCCCAGAACCCTGGGTTCACTTGCAGTCCTAGCACTGGGCAGACAGAGACATGTGGGTCCCTGGGGCTCTCTAGCCAGCCTAGCCTAATGGCAGGTTCCAGGTTCTGACTCCAAAAAAAGCTGGATGGCACCTGAGGAACGACACCCAAGATTGACAGCTGAGGACTTTTCGGCTCTACAATACTCCGAACCCTTTCACAGCCCTTTCTTCTCTTCCCTTCTTTCTTTTTAAAGGCAACGATGGGGGGGGGGGGGTCTCCTGTCATCCAGGCTGGCTTCAGACTCATTACCTCAGGCTGGCCTCAAATTTATGCTCCTCTGGCTCCCAAACACTGGGATAACTGCCACGCCCAGCATTGGCCTTCTTTATTTTCTATGCCTCGTTACTTATTCCACCCATGTATTTGTGTTTCAATGAGGTGGCCCGAGATACGGACGGGACAGGAAATTATCTGCTTCTCACCCATAAACATGTAGCCCAGCTGTCTCCATACTGCAGCTACCGAAACCGCAGGACTCCAGCCCAGCCACCCACATGGGTGCTGTACCACAGCTTCTCCATATCTAAAGACAACTGCCTTTGCGTTGTCTCTGAGATTCAGCCTGAGATGTGAGTTTCCTGACCCTTACTCTTACTGGGCCCTTCTTCTCCCAGGGCCAGGGACCAGAGCTGGGGAGCTAGCCGTAGGAAGAGGGTTGGTGAACGTGTGAAGGGGAGGCACAGATGACTCCATCCTAAGTTTCTCCAACAGGCTGCTGGAGCTCGCCCCTCCATACTTCCTGAGTAACTTGCCCCCTAGTGAGAGCAGAGACCTCCTGAACCAGCTGAGAGAAGGAACAGCAGAGCCATCAGCAGTGACTGAAACTTCATCTCCCCAAGAGTATGGAGACAGCTGTGCTCTGCAGTGAGCTGCCTAAGAAATGGAGCCAGCCTCATCACATAGTGCCAAGGCCATCAGCCAGACTTAGAGACCCAAAGTGTAGGGCAAATAGACTCCTAGAACCCATGAGCCAAGAAACGTTAGGAGGGGAGGGAACAGAGAGCCGCGGTTCAGAACAAGGCAACCCTTTCCTTCTCTGTCCATAGGCAAGAGAGCAAATGCCGCTCGCTCCATCCACATGTTGCCCCACACAACCTTGTCTCCTTGGGTCTATAAAAGATTTTGGGGGGCTGGAGAGATGGCTCAGGGATTAAGTAAGAGCACTGACTGCTCTTCTAGAGGTCATGAGTTCAATTCCCAGCAACCACATGGTGGCTCACAATCATCTGTAATTGGATCCAATGCCCTCTTCTGGTGTGTCAGCGACCTTGTGCTCACATACATAAAATAAATAAATCTTTTTAAAAAATGATTTTTCTATGATGCCAAGTTTGATTTTTGGTTCTGCAGTGCCATGTACAACATCCATGAGTCAGAGATGGCACATAAGGAAAGAGGCCGACTTCTGCAGGGATCAAGTCTCTGTGCTGCCTGCTGTAGCTATCACTAGCACAGACCATGAGTGACCTGACTACCACAGGTCTCTGTCCCTGTCACAGTGTTCCAGCCTCTGCCAGGAACAAGACAAGAACAGTAGCATGAGAGGAAATCCTCCTGTGGAGCCAGAAAGCTTTGCAACCATCCTCCCCTTCACAAAAAGCCTGTGGCCTCTGACTCACCTACAGTCTGCGGTCTCTAATTTTTCATAATATTTATTGTGTGTGTGGATGCACACCCATAACACATGTGCAGGAATCAGAGGACAAGTCATAGAAATTGGTTTTCTTCCACAAACTGGCTCCTAGGGATCAAACTGGGGCTGTCAGGATTACTGCACATGCGGACTCCAGGCTCCTAAGGTCTTTGCAGCGGAAGGATGCCATGCTTTTCTTCTTCCTGGCTGGGTACTTCCCGTCTGTCCTTAGTCTGTTCTAATTGCTGAATCCACCACCATCCTGCACATCCTAAGTGTGTTTGTGGAATACAGTGGAAAGAAAGGCTCAATCCATGTAACTCCTCAGAGTTCCCCTCCCACCCTCTGCCTCTGGAGATATTGGCCCGACCGTTCCATCTGTCTCTACCCCGTGATGTCAGTGAGATCCCCCAAAGGCAGGCATCAGGAATTTTTTCTCTCTAAATCTAACATTAGTTTTGCCTACTGTTAATCTTGCTCCGTTTCCCCTTCCTGGTCCACAGCACCACTGGCTTCCTGGCCGCCACATCTCCAGTCTTAAGGTCATCTTTGGTTCTTCTTAGGTTTGCCAGTCCCAAAGCATCTCTTGTTCACTCTGACACTGAAATCTCCACCAGCTCCCCATCTTGGTTCTCTGACCCTGCATGGTCCCAGAGTCAGGTTCTCTTCCTAGATTTTATCTTCTGAGTATATAAGTATCTATCTTACCTACAGCATAGGTGCATTAAAACTCTCAAGATGGAGGGCGGGCTCGCAGATTGGGTGAGATTGAGTCTAGAAGGAATCCTTAGTGATTGTTCTACAGATGAGGGATGAGGTCCCTGTCACAGTAGGCCACATTCTCTAGTGCCAGCGCCTCTTCCATTACCCCTCCCCCGCTGTCCTTGATGTCTGACTTCACACTAGCTCAGTGATCCCTTCCCAGCAGGACCTGAGCTCTGAGCTCACTCAGGGCAGAGTCACAGTGCCTTACAGGGTCCCTGCTTCATTCACAGTCCTGCAGGTTGCCCTTGCAACCCACATCTCAGCGGGTCTTTTAAAAAAAAAAATGCCATGAAGGGCGGAGTCAAAGTGCGGACCAGGGGCCACTGGTGGCCAAGGAGCCTCAGAGGACAGCCGCAGGCCTTCCGCTCCTCACGCTTCGCTGGCGGCACGGCACCCGGCCACGTTGGCGCTCGTCGAGCAGGAGTCGCTCACACCACCGAGGCGAGCCCGGACACCGAAGCCACCTTGTTGTCCTCGGCCCAGGGCTGCAGATTCTGCAGCGCAAAGAGCGACGAGTTGTGCAGGCAGAGCGGGTCCGGTGGCAGCGGTGGCCGCAGCGGCCGGGGCAGCGCGTCTTGCTGCAGGTGCAGCAGCAGGCGACCCGCGCGGTGCCGCTCGGCTTCGCGCTCCTCCGCCGTCTGGCGCCTGGGCGGGCGGATAGCCGGGGTCAGCGGGTGGCCCGGCCCTTCCCCGCCACTCGGCCCGCCCGCGCCCCGCACCTCACCGCCACTTGGTGCGTCGGTTCTGGAACCAAGTCTTGACCTGCGCGTCCGTCATGCGCAGGGCCTTGGCCAGCGCCGCCCTCTCTGCCGACGCCAGGTACTTCTGGCGCAGGAAGCGGCGCTCCAGCTCCAGCACCTGCGAGCGGGAAAAGGAGGTGCGCGGCTTCTTGCGCTTCGGGGGGGTCCGGTTTTGGTAGGGGTGGCCTATGCGACGTGTCCCAGAGAAGGGCGAGAGCGCAGCTATGGGACGGAAGAGCAGGGCAATGTTTGCGGGGTGGTCCGAGATAAAACTGAGAAGAGAGCCCTTAGTCCTTATAGGGGGAGGGGGTTCCCCCAACCACAGAATCCTCATTCAAGTAGGGGCTTAGGAAGAATCGGGGTCCTCCCAAACTTCACCCTGCCCCTCCTCGCGGTAGGCACCGTGGAGCCGCAGAAGCAGGGTGCATGCACCCGACGACAGCAGCTCTCTCCTTACTGCCTCTCTGCTGTGGGACCGAGAACTGTGGGGTCGGGGAGGGTCCACGGGGAGGAGCAGAGGGGAGAGATGAACCGGGTAATGGGGTTGGAGCAGAAAGCAGAGCCGAAGAAACGGGGTCGCGGGGGAAGGACACCGAGGGGTTGGGCAATCTCACCCGTGAGCCTGTCCTTTGCAAAGCGGCGGCCGCTGTCCATCCAGGGGAAGGTGAGTCCGGCTAGGCCCCCGGCGCCACCCAAACCAGAGGGTCCGGGCACAGCGGGGGCCGCACCCGAGGGCGGCGGCACAGGCAGCGGGCGGTGCGCGGGGACGCGGATCACGCCGCCGGGGCCCACTCCCGAGCCTCTAGGCAACGAGGCCAGCGAGCCGGCTGGAGCATAGCCCGAGGCTCCGTGGAATCCACTGGAGAACGCCGCACTGTCCCCGTGGCTCTGGCCCGCCTGCCCGGGACCCAGACCGCCCCCCGGGGGTTCGGGGCCGCTCAGGATCTGATCGATGCCGAAGCTGATGGGTTCGTGGTGCGGAAGGTGGTGCGGAGCCAACACCGCGGGCTCCATGGATCCAAGCCTGAGAGGCTGGATGACTGGAGAGGGTGTCTCTGACGGCTGCGGGAGCCCGGCGGCAAGCGCTCCGGGCAGCGGCTTCAGGGGCCCGCGGGGCTGGCCACGGCCATGCGCCGGGGCCCCCGGGACAGCAACATCCCTGTGTACCGGGCGCAGCCGCGCGTGTGCCCGTCCCTCCCCGGAGTCCGCTCAGGGACTCGCATCCCGAAGGAGCGCGGCGGGCGGGGGTCCCAGGAGCGCAGGTGGACGCTAGGTTGCCCAGGCCGCTGCCCGAGTCCGGTGTGGAGAGGGGTGGCCAGCTCAGGCAGGGGCAGTGACTCGGGTGGGCAGAGGGGGCAGAGGGAGGGCAGGGGCGGGGCCCCGCCGTTAAAGGGGAAGGGATGGCTGGATGTGCCTGGCGCAGGCAGAGGAGGGCGCGGGTGTCAGGAAGGCGCGGTGCGCGGGAGGGGCCGCTGACTCAGCTGGGATGCTCGCGCGCCCGCATCCTCATCGGCCTCCGCCTTCGGGCTGCCTCGCGGGTTCCTCGGCAGGGGCTTCTCTCCCCAGACCCCACTCTTCGCCTCCCGATGGGTGCCGCTGGCCAGTTTCTGGATTCGTTGTGGCCCCTACCCAAATGACCTCTAAGACCAAATCTCGTTGTGGCTACCTGGCTCTACAAGAAGCGGTTGGGGAACGGCGATCCGCGATCTGGAGTCCCAGGAAGAGGCCAGGTGTGGGAAGCAGAAGGTGGCAGGGCGCGTACGGTGGGCTCGGGCAGGAAACGAACATCTGAGCTTGGAGTCGTGGTACACGTCCTGGCTTTTTTCTGTGCCACTCCCCACCTTACTGGTCCTGACTGACCAGGAATTAGTAGCCTATTTCTTAGAATTTCGATTTTTTGAAATTGCTGTAAATCGGACCCGTATCTCAAACGGACTAACCCCGGCTTCCACCGCGGGATTCCACTTCTCTAATTCGCATCTTGGAAAGCTGTCCTCACACACTGTCCTCGCTTCTCTAAGGCGAAAGGGCTACACTGGGGACTCGCTGAGGCCTTGGGAGGCTCCGGGCTCCGCACCCTACAGACACTTTACCCCACCCAAGCATCAGAAAATGTGCCTGGAGCGTGCCAGCCAAGGAAAGTGGGGGAAGGCTGAAGCGGCTTGGTGACCTTGTGACCTCTGGGCGCGGACCCAGGAGCTGGGAGTATGTGACCTCCCGGTCCCTCCCCGGGATGGGACCCCTGCCGGGCGGGCCCCTAAGCCGAAGACACGCCCCTGCCGCCACCCTGCCCGGTGCAGGCCGCCATAATCGGGTTAGCTGGGCCGGAATTACATTACCTTCTCCAGCCCGCCCTGGCCCTGGGGGGGGCCCTGGCGCCTCCGAGCCGGTGAGACTGGGCCCAGGGAGGGGGGCAGAGGGTGGGCACGGAGGCACTGCTCAGCCTGCCTTGGACACATCCTGGCCAGAAGACCCCGCCCCGCTATGACAGGCCTAGACCCTCACCCCTACCCACCTCAGGGTTCAGCTCTACCCTACGGCTTTCCCGGCTTTCCCGCGTGAAGCGAAGTGCCTAGCAAGTATAAACCTCTTGGGACTAGTGTTCTAGTTGTTTCTCCAGGATCCTCCTGGGAGAGGTGCCCCTCCTTTCTCCCAGCAGATGGGCTGGCAGCCTGGCGCCTGGGGCAGGGTGAAGGGGTCTTTTCTCTCCTGGGAACCAGGGTATTTGGGCATCTGGACAAGAACATAAAAGTAAATAAAAGTAGGCCCCCCTCTCCAGTGTTCTCAGGAGCCTACAGGGTGGGAGTGGAGGTGGAGACAGATAGTGGTTAGGGGCTCAGGAGGACATTAATACAGTGCAGGAGACCTCTCCCACCTTGGCCTGCATCTGTCTTCAGCTGGTCCTTCCACTTTCCTGGTCACAGGCAGGAGAGGAGACAAACTGGCAATGGTGCTTTTTATACCCCCTAGAGAACACTTTCATTTCCCCTCCCTTTGAAGAGCCCTCCCCACCCCACCCCACCTCGCTCTGAGCATTAGGGGGGAAGGCCATATGGAACTTGAAGCCCCAAGCCAAGCTCGAAGTACACCACCGGATGGGAGCCTAGGACCCTGGCTTGCAGCTGAGCTAGGAGGGTGAGCTTCATGGGGGAAGGTAACTGTCTCTCACCAAATTGAATAAATCCTTTTGAACTCGTCAAAGAATGAATCAGTGAATGAGACACAGGCAGTTGGTGAAGACCTGGATGATTGTCACCCTTGAGGTCTGTGCAGGTGACATTCTCCCATTGATGACCTTTTGAGGAGAATGGCCACAAAGGGCAGCTGTGCTCACAAATCTGGGAGTTAATGAGAAAACTGTCTAGTACCTGGCTGTAAGGATGGAGGATACCACATTTTGTCAGCCACAGACCCACCAAGAGTCTCTTCCTGCCTCCATTTCTTCTTGAATGGTTCCTGCTAGTTCAGGTTGAAGATGGGGCTTCTGGGTAAGTGCTTCCTCCTGCCTTATCTTATGTGTTTGTGACTCACACCTTCAAGTGTTTTCTTTTCCTTCCTTTCTCCCCCACCCCCTTTTTAATGTTTGGGGTTGTGTAACCCAAGCTGGTCTTAAATTCTCCACCCTCCTGCCTCTTCTGTCCTCCTGGACACTGGGCTTCCAGGCCTGCACTGCCTTGTACGGTCACCTCAGAGTCCTTGAGTTCTTAAAGCTCCACCTCAGCTCCTTCCTTCCCCAGCTTCCCAGTGTTGTTCTTCAAGATGGCCCCAACTCTTATGTCACCATCCCTGTCATGAGCTTAGTCCTTCCTACTCCCTGCTAGCTCAGAATCCCCTCATCTGGACCAAGTCTTTGCCTGACTTCTTAAGCGAAGATTTCATTTCTTCTTTCCTTTGTTCTATCCATGGCTACTGCCTCCATTTCCTCCCGCTCAGCAGTTCTTGTTTTAACCCAGTGGAGAGTGATTTTCCCACACCACAGCTACCACCGATCACTTTTTTCTGAGGGTGAAGGTAGGGGTGAGGGTGTCTTACTATGTAGTCCTGGCTGGCCTGGAACTCATTCTGTAAGCCAGCTGGCCTTAAACTCACAGGGATCAACCTGCCTCTCCCTGTTGAGTGTTCAACGATGCACGGCAACCCATTATTTCTTGAATTTTCTTTCCTTTTTCAAATTTAAAATTACATTTATTTTTAGTGTAGTTTGCATGTGTGTGTATGGGCGTGTGTGTATGCTCGTGTGTGTGTGTGTGTGTATGTGTGTGTGCACGGGCACGCACCCATGTGTGCATTCGTGTGTGCCTGTGTGTACCACTGTTTGAATGTGGAGCTCTCCTCCCATCATGTGGGTCCCAGAGATCAAATTCAGTTCATCAGATTGATAGCAAGCACCTCCACCTGCTGGATCACCTCCCGGGCTCTTAAGATGCCTTTTCCTTTGGCTTCTATTTGTTTTTCTTTTTCTTTGGGGCCCTGGGAATTGACAATAGCGCCTCAAGCACGCTAGGCAAGTGCCCTCCCACCGAGCTACATCCTTCGGTAACTTTGAGTTTTGTAACATAGGCTTACATTGTTACTGCTTCTAGCCTTCCTCCACTGGCTTTGCTTTCTTCTGGAGAATTCAAGCATGCCTCAGAGCTCTCTCTGACTGTAGCTTTTCTGCACCTCTTCAGGTTTCATCTGTTCTTACACGCACCCTGACAGCAGTGGCACCTGACATTTGAGTGTCATCTCTCCAGTCGCACTTCTGCTCTAGCCTTCTGACCCACTCCACCTGGCTTTCTTGAAGCCCCTCTAAGTCCAACAGGCTGGAGGGAATGCTCACTTCTCATTCATCCGCTCAGGACGACTAGTCAGGTCCTGGCCACTTCCTTCTACCATGCTTTCCTTTAAAGTTTAAAATGCAAAGAAAATAGCCGGGCGGTGGTGGCACATACCTTTAATCCCAGCATTTAGGAGGCAGAGGCAGGCGGATTTCTGAGTTAGAGGCCAGCCTGGTCTACAGAGTGAGTTCCAGGACAGCCAGGGCTATACAGAGAAACCCTGTCTCAAAAAAATATACATATACATATACATATACATATACAGCCAGGCAGTGGTGGCACACGCCTTTTAATCCCACCACTCAGGAGGAGGCAGGGGCAGATGGATCTCTATGAGTTTGACACCAGCCTAATCTAAAGAGCAAGTTACAGGACAGCCAGAGCTACACAGAGAAACCCTGTCTCAAAAATAAATAGATAGACAGATATATAGATGATAGATAGAATAATAGATGGATAGATGGATGGATGGATGAATAGATAGATAGATAGATAGATAATGGCTATATGATAGATAAAGTTTAAAAAGCAGCCACTGACTTCTCTTCAGCCTACTTCTTTGCTAGTCTTCTGTAGCTCAGGTCTTGAATTCACTATGTAGTCATGGCTGGCTTTGAACTCTGATCTTCCTGCAACTCCTAGGTGCTAGGATTACAGATGTGTGACATTTCCACTTACTGCCCTTCATTCCCATTGCTAAGTCCTTAATTTAAGCTGCCATTGTTACCTACATTCTTTTATTTGTTCATTTAGTACATTTTATTTTTTTGTTTTTTTTGAGACAGGGTTTCTCTGTGTAGTCCTGGCTGTCCTGGAACTCACTCTGTAGACCAGGCTGGCCTTGAACTCAGAAATCCGCCTGTCTCTGCCTCCCAAGGGCTGGGATTAAAGGCATGCACCACTACCGCCAGGCTTAAATATATTTTTGTTTTGTTTTGTTTTGTTTTTGTTTTTTGTTTTTCGAGACAGGGTTTCTCTGTATAGTCTTGGCTGTCCTGGAACTCACTCTGTAGACCAGGCTGGACTCGAACTCAGAAATCCACCTGTCTCTGCCTCCCAAGTGCTGGGATTAAAGGCGTGCGCCACCACTGCCCGTCTCGTTTAGTACATTTTAAAAAGATTTCTTTAAATTTTATGTCCATGTGTGTTTGTCTGCTTGAGTTTACATGCACTACATGTGTGCAAGACCCCTTAGAGGACAGGAGCTCCCCTGAAGCCCGAGTTACAGGCAGTTGTGAGCCACTTGTCCAACATGGGTGCTGGGAACCGAACTCCTATCCTCTGAAAGAGCCATGAGTGCTCTTCACTGTTGAACTGTCTCTCCAGCCTCCATCCACGATATTTTCACTGTGTGCTCAGATCTGGAGATAGAGATATGGACAGCACATTCTAGTATAAAAGGCAGAT